AGGCCGCTCTCTAGCCAGTGACCTATGCATTGCTCTCTCAGGTGTCCCCAGGTCTAATCCATCTCTTCAGGTGCAAGAGATCTTACCCTTAGATGTAACTGCCACTAACCTGCAGATTTTTGTAAAAACCCTGGAAGATATCACTGTCAAGGTTGAACTCTCCGATACAACCGAAAATGTGAAAACAAAGATCCTGGATAAGAAAGGAATTTGTCCTGATGAACAAAGACTCATTTTTGCTGGCAAGCAACTGGAAGATGGACATACTTTTCCTGACTACAACATTCAAGAAGGAGTCTACTCTTCATTTTGTGTTAAGACTTTGTGATCAGGGGTGGTGGCTCACGCCTGTTAGCACTCTGGGAAGTGGAAGCAGGTGGATTGCTTGAGCTCAGGAGTTCAAGACCAGCCTGGACAACAGTGAGATCCCCATTCTCTATTAAAAATAGAAAACTGGCCAGGTGTGGTAGCCCATGTCTGTAATCCCAGCTATTCAGGAGGCTGAGGCAAGAGGATTGCTCAAGTCTAGAGTTTGAGGTTGCTGTAAACCATGATACCATGGCACTCTACCAAGGGTAACAGAGTGAGACTGTTTTAAAAAAAAAAGACTTCATAGTGGTACTAAGAAAAGGAAGAAGTCTTATACTATTCCCAAGAAGAAGCAAGCATAAGAGAAAGATTGAACCGGCTGTCCTGAAATACTATAAGGTGGATGAGAATGGCAAAATTAGTCACCTTTGTTTAGAGTATCCCTCAGATGAATATGGTGCTAGAGTTTTTATGGCCAGCCACTTTGATAGACATTCTTATGGCAAACGTGTCTAACTTACTACTTTAATTAACCAGAAGACAGGTAATTAATTACATGTGAGTTCATAAAAGAAATGACTAAAACAACACACCCCAACCTTACTTCCTTCTAAAAAGGTAGACTGGTCTCAGGCAGAACCATGGCCAATAAAATACAGGGAATTTATTCAGAGAAAGTTAATAGGAACAATCTCTGATAATATTTTTCAACACGCCAGAACCTTTGAACAAGTCTTCTCAAATAAGTCACTTATTCAGACAATCCTCCCTTTTGCTAGAAATAGGCCTTACTTAAACTTTCCTTCTAACTCTATATCATGTGCTTACAAATCCTTAACAAAGGCAAGTCTAATGGCACCGGTTAAATATGGTAATCAGGAAGAGAGCACAAAAACAATATGTCTTATTAAATATTTACTCAGAATAAAGTACATCATATCAGCTACCCACAAGTCTTAAAACCACCTGTTTCCCTTACAGAGATTATAACAAGATAGTTTCTTTGCTTCAACCTTGAGAATTTTAGTTTAGAAAATTCAGGTGATAGAGTTGCCTTTGTGGAAAGACTAGAACATAGAAAGCTAAGGGTGGGGAAAAGGATGGAGATAGGCAGAAGTGTTTTTTTTTTTTTTTTTTGCAAAGAAAACAAAGGCAACAGTTTAGTAGGGCAGTGGGAGAGGAGTATTACTAAAACATATTAAAGAGGTTAAGACTTCAGAAGTTCATAGAGGTTATCCAAGTCATACTTTATCTCAATCACCTAATATAGTCTGTATTTCCAAGACCAGAGTGGGACCAAGAAGGCTAACAATTTTCTTATAAATTAAAAAAGCTTTAAATGTTTAAGTGGAGGAAAAAAGCCATTAAGTTCATTTTAGAATGCACATTCTTTGTAATCAGCTACGGGTGATAAATGAGTAGGAAAATCTTGGGTTGTCTTGCAAAGAAAGCATGAAAATCTGCAGTATCCAAATTCTGATCATCTATTTAAAATGTATACTGCTTTTTATCTTAAGAATAGTTTTAAAGGCTTTCACAGCTATATAATCCTTCCTAATCCATAAAGCCTTTCAAATTCCTAAAGATAATAAAAAACATCACTTTACAGAGGCCAATTTTCTTTCTTGTTTACTTATCATCTTACAGTGCTTGCTACTGTTTTACTAGTTACAAATCAGTTCTTCTGTTATATGCAGGGAGTTAATACTGGTTTCAGTAGCATGCCTTCCAGTGAATGGGATAAATAGAACAGAGTATTGTATCTTACAGTCTAGTACCAGCAAGTGCTACAATAACAGTGTTTTGGTATGGCTGATGCAATTTGTTGCTAGGATCAATATTTTGGCATTAAAACTGCTGTGGCAACGAGAGAGAAAAAGACTGACAAACTATGGTAAACTCGAGTTAGCTCTACTGAGTTTGAGGAGCTATGACTTACAAAGACAAGAGAATCTGAACAACAGAAGAACATAAAGAACTTTAAAGAGACCAAATCAGATCTTGCAGAAAACCAAATAGATTGGTTAATTTAAGTGTCTCTGAAGGTACTGGCAAAATAAGACAGTAAAATAAACTTGATATCCATTTTAAGGTGAAAAGGCGATTTCATGTTTGCTATTTATCACCTCTGCCTCCAATATCCTTGATTGCTTTTCTTGGGATCTGAACTTGTATTCCCTGTTTTGGACAATAAGGGAGTCGTAGGAAGAGGAAGGCAAAGCAGGAGATTGACAGTGTGTACATTTTATACGATTTTGGAGCGGGAAGGGAAATTAGAGGTCAAAGTGGTTCAAACATTGGTTTTAGCAGAGGAAACCAGAGAGCAAGAAGATAATTAAGCTCCAAAGGTAACCCCTAAAAGTGGGTGGGGTCAATGCAAATTTAGTAAATCATTAAACTGCAGGAAGCAACCTTTGTTCCCCTGCTGGGAACACCAGCATAACTCAAGTTTTTCTGGTGGAGAGAGGGTTTCTAAAAATTATCCTCTGCATTCACCTGGCATAATAGAGAGGCTTGGACTGGGTTTAGGGAAACAAAAGATCTAGCCCAACATCCTCAGCGCTTATTCCAGCAAGACTCCTCACCTCCCGAATCCTTTATTCTACATTTTTCTTTCTTAACAGTAGAAAAAAGTGGTTTTGTCCTTTCTATTTTAGGCTGCTTTTAAGTACTTTTAAAGGGGTATTGTGAGATGTACTGGAGTAAAAATTAAAAGCTTTTCTTTGCTTGAAGAAAGCAATCTGACCACAGAAGCCAAATTTACACACATTCAAAAACTTAAACTATCAGATAACTCGGTGACTACCAAATTTTATCTGATTCAACTCCTTTCTTCAAGTACTTCATCCTTCCCTAAGCTCAAATCTGGTGCTAGCCAGGACCAGTACACACCCCCAGGGCTATTTCATTCCATTGGCTGGCAGGCCCTTCTGCCGCCTACACCCTTTGGATTCACTGTCAGGACGCCCGGTGTTTTTCAGAGATGTAACACTGCTCGTGAGTTGTTCTTTTTTTTTTTTTTGCATAAACCAGTATGGAAACATAATTTAAAAGATTAACGTGTAATTAGTAAATTCCTCTGGTTAATAAAACTGCCTAGATTTCAAGCCTAGAAGGTAAGTTATTTTCTCTATTTCTATATCATCTGTCACTGTCATAACTAACAGGAGTGGAAAAAAAACAGAAAATAGTTTATTTCATAGTTTGTATTCGGGGGAAAAATCACAGGAGCTCACGAAAACTCGCTAGGTAAAATCAGATGGGTGGGTCATTACCTTTCCTAGAAGTGCATTTTGGCAGGACACAGACAATGGGACCAAAAGGAGACCTACTGTATAGTGTCTACTCTGCATACAACATCAACATATGCAGACAGCCGAAGTATAACGCTCGCGGGGGAAGTAGGCAGGCCAACTACAGGAGGAAAAAAAAAATCACTGTCCACACAGCCTGCCACACCCGAGGCGGGGTAACCCGGCGGGAAGCGTGGGAGGGGGACACCGCCAGCTGGAGCTGGGCCGGGCTCGCGCAGCGGCCCAGCACAGGAGGCAGAGGGGCAGGGCCTCGGGACAGCGCGGGCAGGACGCGGCCGGCCGGCCGGCGCTCACCTCCCTTGCACGGCGTGCGGTGCTGGCTGTGCTGGGCCCGGTAGCCCTCGATGACCTCCCAGGAGCCGTCGTCTCTCCGGATAGGGAAGGAGAGGCTCAGCACATGGTTACAAGGCTTGATGATCCGCAGGATGCCGCGCACCCGGTTCCGTTTCTGCTCCTCGCTCTCTCGGGTCTTCAGATCCTCCACCAGCTTGTCCTCCACGATGCTGGCGCCGCGGTCAAAGAAGCCCTCCACCATCTTGAAGAAGTTAGGGTCGTCCTCGCGGTCGGCCACTGCCTCGCTGTAGTGGCGTCGGGCAGCCGGCGCGAGCCCAGGCTGTGGGGCAGCGGCGGGTTGCCCGCGGGCCCGGCCCAACAGCGGGGCTGAGTCGGCGGCCGCCAAGCCCAGGGCGGCCGGCCCGGTCCGGGACAGCAGCAGCGCTTCGCCCAGGTAGCGGTACATGGCGGCGAGTGGAGGCGAGGTGAATGCGGGCCGCAGAAGAGGAAAGCTCGGAGTCCCCGCGAAGGAGGGAGGAAGAGCCCGGCGCGGGCTGCCCTTTTAAGCCGCAGCTTCCTGCCCGCCTGGCTGT